ATGAAGGAGGAAAGTTAGACAGCTAATGATAGTGTGCAGTGAGTCAGGGACTCTGCAGCTCCTCTGGAAGTTTAGGGCGTTTAAATGCTTTTGAATCCAGGTGTTGGATAAACATGAGCTGGAATGCTCTGCTGTAGGACTGAATCTATAGTTTCACTTAACAATTGCTTTTCATATTTTTCTTCCATGTGATCTTTGTCAACAGTACTCCAGATTTTCTGAAGTTTTCTACCATTTCCTCTCCAGCGCCTGGCCATTCACTCCTGAACTCAAAAGTTGAACTCATTGACTCATAACATTTGCATAAAGTGAGTAAGAACTGAAGTATGCCAGCACTCACTGTCATCTGAAATCATAAACCTGGCTGGTTTGCTTTTAGATTCCAGGATAATATCGTTTTCATTTGGCCACCTGTGTTTCTTCCTTGCCACTCATCTGCATACTTTCACTTCAGCTGGCGTTTATATCGAAGTGAGGAGAGATAAAAGTGATAAGTGCTTTGGGAATGTTGCAGTCATTCCTGAAGTACACATATATTACCCATCAGAACGGCTGACTTTATTCACCTGTTGGACTTGTACAGTGTAAGTTGACGGGTAAATACAACAACAGGTTCCACCGTTTTTTCTTGAGATGATAATAATTAACATTTTTATGTGCTTAAAGCTGCATGTCTATCCACTTCAGATTTTTTTAGATAAATTGATTCAATTGGTTTGGACACCAGAAGGGACGCGTTGTCTTTCAGCAAGTTTCCAGGATCTCCATCTCAAAATAAACTTGATCAGACAGGACTGGTAAATCATTTTTGGCTTAAGCCTGGTTCACAAAACAATTTTAGACCTGAACCTTCCTTTCCGATAACTTTAAGGATGCTCTGATTATCTTGATGACTCTAAAGATAATCGTATTAAAGATAACATTGTTGTTGTGTGGTGAGTAAAGAGCGACAGAGTCTGCTCAGAAAGACATCAGGACTGCAACGACCTCAAATCAACTTCTGCAGGTCAAACGTGTTGGGAACAATGCTCACCTCACTGCTTCCAACTGAGCAACTTTCTTGCTTTATTGAACAACATTTCAGACAAAAAAATCAGTATGAGCCAAAGTTAGAATCAAGCCGGTCAGGATTTTTAAAGTCCGCGATGAGTCAGAAAACTACAATCGGTGTGTTTTTATTAGATTGCTTTGGCATGTTGGACTGTTGCTCAAGGACAAACAAGCCTGCAGACCATTGAATGTGACATGCAGCCAATCAGAAAGGGAGCTGACGGAAACACAGAGAGAAATCCAAAATATAGAAGACAAAACTGCCAAGTCGGACTAAAATGTCCAGTGAACGAGTTTTTTCTCTACTAAAGAGAGTCCACAAACTGTCGCCATAGTTTGTGGCCTTGTCGACCATGTTTGTTTACTCTGAATTCACCATTTAAATGTTCATGAGTAAATCAGTCAGTGTGTGGCGATTTGCATTTGCCCATATCAACTCCAACTGAACCATGTAGTCTGCAAAACCCAAAGAAAATACCCTAAAATTCCCCAAATATGTACCTTCCCATGTACAAGCATCCCTTGTAGAGAGGATCGGTCAGATGTCAATGCGAACATAGCACTTGCTTTGGTTACATCAGGTTCTTAAAAGCATTGCTGGATCTGGGACCAGTGGGACCAGCGATAGACATTAGCAGAGTGGTTAAAAGCAGCTGAGATTAGTGTGCTTGTCCCTCAAAAATAGACACTAAATTTCTCATTTATCATGTATATTTCTGATAACTTTCTTAAGATGGAAGGACTGAGCCTTTAAGACATTTTAAATACCTGCAACAACACACTGGATCACATGTGTGTTCTCAGATGGGCGCTTTCTTCCAGATCTGTTTTCAAGATCTTCTCGGGTCAGACTTTTAGGAAGCCCCTCCTGTTTCTATCCTGTCCCTGCTTTGATCGCCACATCTCATGTGTAAAATGTGGATTAGCCAATGTTTTACTTGCTCTGCTGTGTCTTTCATCTCTCCTGTCACACTCCAGTTCATGCTGCCCAGTACATCTGCACCGGCTTAAAAATAATCTTGTTTTTATAATAAAGGCCAGTGCATCATTAGTTTCAGTCTGTCAACTCCTACACGATTTTCAGCTCAGCAGAATGTCTCTTTCGGCTTCTCAGTCTCTCTTTTTTACCCGCTTCGTTCTTCCCAAAGTTACGGCATGTTTCTCCCTCACTCTTCTCCAGCCCGCTCTGCTCTCCTTCTTTGGTTTATCTGTTTCCCTCCTCCTGTCCTCCAGACTAAACATCACGTCTGTTTTCAGACAGAGGAATTGCGTGTTTGTGTCTATCTGCATTCTTATCTCGTCTTACTGTTACAAGTCCAGGCAGCAATCTGATACAAGATTGAAATAGATACACTCTGATGCAGCTTTAGTGAAAAGTCTTTGTGTTTGTGAAGTATACATCCTTTTCATTTTGCATGAAGAAAATCTTACGTGACTCACAGTTAGACAGCTTGGATGAGCATGAAACAAAATGTGTGCTTCTTAAAATTCTTTCAAATGAGATCCAAGCAGCAGGAGGGGGGGAGATTATGAGGTTCACAAAACTGAAAACATAATCTACAGCTTCAAGCTAGGGTGGGCAGAAATCTGCACAACAGTTTACAAAATGAAGTAGCAGGAAGCATGAGCATTTACTTCCAAAGTGCTACACACAGACGCATAACTGTTCATGTATTCGTATCAAACTGTCACTCTATGGATGCCACAGTCCACTGCGTACAACCACATGATCCAAAGTATTGTTAAGGAGAGCATGTGCATGTCGGCCTGGCAACATTACAAATTTTGCTGGACGATAAATCGCCCGAGAAATGATTGCAGTAAGCAATAATATTGTCATTTTGAGACCTTTTTCTGCTAATATAATGTTGAAAAAGGTATAATAGCTAATGATATATTAATCCAGATATTCATATTAAAAACAAAAACTTGAGTTCTAAAAAATGTCTAGCACTAGCACTGGAAAATATTTGAAATGTCCAAATAAAAAACAAAACAAAACAATAATTATTTTAATTTATTATGTGATTTATTGCTTATAGTGACAGGCCTCTCTGCATGTGCATGTATCTTTCTTTAGTCCTACAAAACAACATGCATACATTCAGAAATACCACCAATTTAATGTCAATGCAAGATCTTTGGAAGCAAAATTAAAGTTACAGTTTTACTCAAATAACTATATTTGTTATTTTGAACATATTAAACCTGAGAGCCCAATCACAACGTCTTGTGTCAGAAGGACTTGCTTCTGCACACATTTCCATCCTGAAATGGGAACAGAGCCTAATAATCCTTTTGTATTTCAGCCAATATGCCAAAATTCAGCAAGCACCCACTTGGGACTAATGTCCTGTCAGAAAGACTGCATGAGAAATAAATGACAGATGACACCAGCATGAACCTTTCACACACATGATTGGCTAAACCCATTACTCAGTCTCTGAAATGTCTTTCCTTCCCATTTTCAAAGTGGAAAGTCTGATTTAAAAAAAAAACTTAAACATACCTTGAACCAATCCAGAAGCTTCTAAACAGACTGTAGGTGAAATGAACAGCAATTCTAAAAGTAGGTGTCTAAAACTGACAGCATGGTTCAAAACTGCTTCAGTTCTACTTTCCACTGCAAGAATTTGGACCTGAAACAATAAGTCCATAACTCAGTTGTTCAGACTGTAAGAAGATTAATCTGCAAAAATCCCCATCCTCACTTTGTGACTTTGTATTATTATATTTCATCAAGCTGCAGAAAACATTTAGAGGATCATGTTTCTTTGTTTGCCTGGAGGAACATACCATAATATGAATTTAAAATGTAGAAAAGGAGGCTAAGGAAAAGAAAACAAAAGCCCATTGCTGCAGACAAAACTATAAATCAGCAGAGATGTTACTCAGTTCCAGCCCAAACAAGTTATTATATTATTATTCAGTGAAATATCACTGACTCTATTCTGCTTTCTTGCACAAAGAGCTGAACCGAGTCTGAGTCAGAACTGTTGGTGACCTCAGCTGGACTCGCTAACATAGAAACACACACACACACACACACACACACACACACACACACACACACTCACATCCGTCTTTTCATCTACAACAGACCTCAAAGTATCACAAGTGGATTCACAAGCAGCAGTGGGGAATGGACCCCAACGGAGGGTCACAGTATCTGACCGCTTCAAACAAAAAGAAACAAACAAAAATCTCACAGATGTAAACACAACATAACACACACACACACACACACACACACACACACACACGCAGGGATTTCCCGGATACGACCACACACATAAAGAGCGCGCACGCGTGCACGCGCAGGCAGACGGCTAGACAGACGTCTGGCTTCACCGGAATGACGAAGCGACGAGCAAACTTCAAACACCCTCCTCTTCTTCTTCTTCTTCTTCTTCTGCTTTTGCACAGGGAAACCCACCTTTTCCTCTGTTTTTATTTTTCTACTTCCAGTTTCAAAGGCGAAATTCTGAGAGTTTCGACGAGCTTCATCTCAAATCCTGACCATTAAGACAGAGAAAAGGCAGACTGACATATTTTCTGTTTCCTTTTAGAACCAGTTTGCCTCTGCAGACACGATATGAAGCTTTAGTTCAAGTTCAAAATCAACCTAATGAACCATCTGCAGGGAAAATGCTTCATTAGAGCCGCTTTAATGATTCCTTGCAGGTTTTATGAGCAGCGCTAAAAGTAAAGTTGACAGGAAGTCGTTAAAAGGGAAAATAAACTGAAAATATTACAGGAGCAAATTCAAACGAGAAAGTGAATTTCGCGTATTTGTAAAGGAAACGTTTTTCAGGGGAACCTGAGAATGAATGGCTGTTTCAAGCAGAGCCAAAAGTCAGACATGCATCACCACAGTCACAGTCACACAGCTGGAAACACTGAGGGAAGGAGTCAGCGGATCCACGAAAAGTACAATAAATGTTACTTACTGATTTCCATGTTCTGGATGGAGGTGTAGGGCTTACAGTTGCAAGTACAGGAGACATTGGGGGCGGTGGCGTTTAAAACACCCATCAAGTTCAACATCTAACGCCTCCAAAAGCAGACATAAATGCTCCAGAGATGAGGAAATTAAAAGCAGGGGGTGGAGAAGGCTGGAAGAAGGAGAGGAGACCCAAAATAAGACTAAATTACCCCCCTGTAACCTCTCCTCTTGTCTCTGCGCTGTCTCCAGACTCCTGTCCTCTCCTGTCCTCTCCTCTCCTCTCTCCGGTCCGTCCTCCCTTCGTCTCGGTTCTCTCCTCCTTCTCTCTCCACTTTCTCCTCCTCTTCCTCCGAAATCTAACTATCTATCGATTTGAACGTGTCAGTCTTTCGGCGGGTTGTGTTTTAGTGTCTGCTGCTGTCCAAATCTACTTGACTTAGTTTCATTGTCCGCTGGAAATGAGATCCGTGAGTTTGGGCCGAGCGACCGGCGACTAAACCACCGCGGGACTCGCGTCTGGTCCAGGCTGCGTCTCTCTCCTCCTCCCCCTCTGCTCTCTGGGGATTTCTGGCTCTCCCTCCCTCCTCTCCGTCTATTTTGCTCTCTTTCTCCGTCCGTCTGTCTCTCACGTCCAGTTTCCACTCTCCTTGTTGGTGCATCATAAATTCCACAGTGAGAAACTGACAGGCGAGGATTTATTTCTTTGTCGCCTCCCTTCCCTCACATCCCTCCACATTATTTCATTTCTCTATTATTTTATTTATGAGACCACAAGGAATGACGCATTAAACCAAACTGATGTTCAACAACTGACAACTGATGCTTTTTCTATTCAACTGTAATCACAGTTAATTCCTTCACTTTGATTAAAAGTTATGTAACACAATCAAATGAGCTAAAACGTTATACTTGAATTTTGTAAAAATCTGTTTTGGGCATCATGTTGCAAGATGCAGTGGAGGGTGAAAAATATGCCAATAAATATTCAGCTATTCATTAAAAATGATCACACATCGCTGTCTATTTATTAATATGCACATTATTAATGTCAAAATGATTCATGTTGAGGTAAACGGCAAAAATGAAACCAAAACATTTCTATCTGGAAAGAAAGCCACGGGAACTTAATCGTCTCACTTCTGTTGAGTTCGGCTCAACCACAGCAAGAACTTCTGGGGGCGATTTGGGTTTTGAGAACTTCTTTCAGCATCTTGCCGTCTGCTTGCAGGGTGAACTTTGCTTGGACGACCAGACCTGAGCAACATTGTTTTAAATGTCCTTTGTTTCAGGTTCTTTTGAGACCTCTGGACTCTAACCAGACTCTAGACCAGACATGTCCAAAGTCCGGCCCGGGGGCCAAATGCGGCCCGTGGTCAATTTTCATCCGGCCCGCAGCCTCCGTCATAGAATCAATAACGCCTGGCCTGCGTGTAATACATTGGGCAGCAGCGCTGTTACTTGCGTGTTCTAAGTGCTGACATCTAGAGGCTCAAATAGGAACAGCAAATTAATATGTGAGGCCCCCCAATTTTCTAAAATGGCGGCAATTAGCAAAAGGAGGAAAGTTGACTGCGAGGGCCGACGGTTCATGGATGGGTGGAAATTGGACTATTTCTTCATTGAAATACGTAACAACTGTGTTTGCCTCATTTGTAAAGAGACAGTGGCTGTTTTTAAAGAGTTCAATGTGAAGCGACATTATTAAACAAAACATGCTGAGGCACATGACAAGATCACAGGTAATGAACGCAGCGAGAAACTGAAACACCTTGAAGCTAGCTTAATCTCACAGCAGCAATATTTTACAAAAGCTCGAGAGTCAAACGAGAATGCTACAAAGGCTAGTTACGAGGTAGCAGCGCTGATCGCAAAGCATTGCAAACCTTTCACCGTTTCACTAGTGCGCAGCATCCTGTCCCTGGGTCGCCAAGTGAGAGAGAGGTGTGCTAATCAACATTTATAGTTACTGTCATATTTTAAATGAGCCCTGCACTTGTTGATATGACAATTTCTCTGTTATTGTGTTTAAAAATTCTGTAAATATTAAACTCCCATTTTGAGATTTTTTTTATGTTTCAAATGTAATTTGCACCAAGAGTACAATTACTTTTCTTCAACTGTTACAAAAAAGTTAGTGTTAAAAAAGTGAAGTTAAATGAATATTTAATTTCAATTTTCAATGTCAATTGAATTTTGAAATGTATGTTTCAAATGAACCAAAACATATGCTTAAGATGGCTGAAATTAAAATAAAAAAGCAAATGTGAAACACACAACAGCTCGCTGAAATGTATTTAAATTAATTGCTGTTATATGTAAAGAACGTCCGCCAAGGTTGGCCCCCTATATTTTTAACACACCAAATCTGGCCCCCTCTGCAAAAAGTTTGGACACCCCTGCTCTAGACTGAACACAGTTCTGACAATCTAACCATCTCACTTTACAACTAAATGTCTGAGGTTTAAATTGGGCAACTGACTTAATGTTCTAAATATGCACTGAAAAAAGAAAATGGGCCTCCAGCTAAAAAGAAATTGCTAAATTTGTAATTAAATTAAGTTAATCACTTACTTTATTTACATTTGTTTAATATGGCAACTTAATATATTTAGCTACTTGGATAAACTTAATTTGATTACTTGCAACAAAATATATTTCAAAGTTAAATCTCTTTTGTTCAGTGTGTATAACTGTGTATAAATTAAACAATTTCTAGTGGAAATAAATGTGGTTATATGTATTTTTTAAAAGAAATTCTATTTTGTAAAACAGTTCAAAATAAATTTCTACTTTCAGTTCATATTAAATGTTCCAACATTTTTAAAATTGATATTAAATTAAAATAATTCAGATTGCTGGTGTGGGTGTAATGATGTGACCATGTTACAAAGTTCAGATCCTGCCATGACACTTCATCGCACTCCAAAGAGAAATTTTAGGATGTGAGGCATCAAGATGTTTGCATTATGGATGTGCTTCTGCAGTCTTCTGCAAATATATGAACCAGAACTTCAGAAATGGTTCCAACAGTCTGTTGAGTTCTTCACCATGACTTTCTGCAAATTTTCTCATTCTTCCTGGTATTTTTGGAACTAGTCATCTTTCTTTTCTTGATGCTGCTGTCGCTTAGGATCTTTGTGTCTGACTTTACTGCCGTCTTTTTCCGCTAAACCATCGCCGCAGTGTTGAGCTGGTTAGCCATCGACTGTTTATCAGTCTAGATCTGGAAGTCCCAAAGGAAATTGAGGTCATTTTTCTTAGCAATTTAATCCTCATTTAGTGGCTTTTAGGCTAAATACATTAGTCTGCCACTACTTTTATTTCTTGCTCCTAAAAGTCAAGCACATAAAGCTTTGCCTTAGAAAAACCACTGATTACTATCCATGGTCACTGTGCGTAGGCAGAAAGACCAACCAAAAGGCTGTTTGTTGTATTAAAACTGCATTTTTCTTTGTTTTGTTTCATTTTTATTTTGTGTTGAAACTGCAGCTATTCCAAATTCAGATATATAAACTTCAGCTTAGTTGAGGAAATGTTTAAAATACACGGTTTTTACTTTGTGATGCAGTCGTTTCTGCTGCAGATTTAAGTCTAAGTCTTCAGAGTTCTGCCTTGTGGGTTTTTTGCCTCAACATTTTTTTCACATAATACATCAGTGTAAACCTAATTGTACATGGTACTCTCTGTAAGATTTCCTCTAGCGAAGTTAAGACATTTTCTTTGGCAGGAAGTCATAATTTTAACCCTTTTGTTTTACTAAAGTTAATTAGTACAAAAAAAGCCCGCTTTCAATAAATTTCTAAATTTTATTCAGTGCCTAATTGTCAAGTGAAATTGCACAAACAACTTTTGAGATGTCCTTTATACTAAATGTGCATTTTGATGTTACAGTTGTTTCCACAGAGCCAGACGGCGTTAGATCACTTCTATGATTGACAGGCTACTGGGACCAATGAGACCAGACTGTACCAGTATGTTTCATCTGACTCAGCTTCCTAATTAGGTCTGCTGGAGTTTATAGCTGCATGTTAAAGTGGCTTTACAGCCCAGCTGGATGCCCCAAAGCCTTAATCGTGCAGACAGGAAGAAAAAAAAAAATCACCAAAAATACTCTGTGCGAATACTGAATGCTCGCTGTGTCGAGGAAAAAAGGAGTCGGCCTGTTACGTGTTACAGTTGGCTCAAAATACTATGGGTGTGAAAGCTTTGCAACTGATGATGCAATTAAAATTGAGATTACAGCAGTTCTAGAGCAAGTTGGCTGATTTAGAAAACACTAATTATTAAAAAAAAAAGCCCAGTTTGAAAGAGTCCAAGTTATATAAACATATGTTATGGTTGTGCATTGAGAAAATAAATTAGACAAGTGTCATATATACCATAATTATCACCGCAAGAATGAAATCCTATTGTCCGCTTATAAAACCAAATAAAGTAATTAAAGGACAATGGGTAACCTGTCAACTTGATCAGTTGAAGATGAAAAGTCGTCTTTGCCGCCCTCTGCTGGACACCAGCGTCATTCCTGCAATCTGAGCACTTTTTGTTTTGGCTTTTAGTTATTAAAGTCATAATAAATCACAGATTCTGGAGAGTGTGTTGGGTGAATATTATTAAAATATGTAAATACCTCCAGGTTATGTTTGTTTAAAAGGCAATTACTAAATTAGAGCAATACACCAGAAAACATGGTGAATTTTTAGCTTTAACATCATGTAAATATTTTTGTGTCTTTCTAAGGCTTTCACTATGTGTAAGCCAAGCATGATGAAATTAAAAAGATTGCTTTGACATATAAAATACAGTGTTTTACGGTTGAATTGGAAACATCATTGACGTTTTATCCTTGAGTCTAATAACCTGGGTTTGTCTGTCAGGACTGGTTTGAGCTCCACTAAACTACGATGACATTTGGGTCAGTTTTAATCGCCCACTGGAGACCCTTTAAGTCAGTTTCATGATGCTTCTTGTCCTCTTTTGATCTGCCGTAGAGCTTTTTAAAACCTGTTTAACAAATAAAGCCTTCACTGAGCCTTCTAAAGAAGGGTGGAGATGGGTAATGACACGGCAGGTTCTAAGCGAAACTTATTCCCAGAATGTTAAATGATCAGCGTGCTTCGTCTCACCTCTAATGATTTTAAAATACAACAAAATCATCTGCTGCTGTTGTTGTTTTGCAGATGAAGGGAGATTTGTCTGTGCTAAAGCACTACCAACGGGTTTGTAAAACTTTCCCCAAAATAATGACTACTCGGTAGAATGAATTGGAAAGATATTTTTTTTGCAGAATAGTATAGTTCAGGAGATATGCTTGGTGTTTATTAGAAACCTCCTTTGTGAACAATTATTTTCCTCCTTGCAGTTTTTTCCTGTTTTTGTGATCTGTCACTCGGAGATGTTTCAGATAATCAAATTTTAAAGACAGAAAACAAACAAATAAAAGCTGAAAGAAAGACTATTTTATTTATTGAGGAGAAAAAAAAATATACAAACCAGATTGGTGAAAATTTTAAGATTTCAGTCTGAATTGCAACCTTTCATTGCTTCTCTTCATTTTAACTCTG